TCCTTGGCTCTTGGCCCTTCCCTCCATCTTCAAGGCTCACAGTGTAGCATCTTCAAATCTCTTTCTCTCTCTGACCTGCTTCTGTCATCACATCTCTTTGATTCTGACTCTCCTGCCCCCCTTTTGTAAGGACTATTGTGATCACATCAGGCCCAACCAGGTAATCATGGAGAATCTCCCCACTAAAAAGTCTTTAACTTAATCACAACTACAAAGTCCTCTTTCCCATGGCAGGTAACATTAAGAGGTTCCAGGGATTAGGACCTAGACTCTTTGGGGCCATTATCCTCCCTCCCACAAGGAGACTTGGGAAGTAGTGAGTGCTCAGCAGACATGAGAGAGGGAAAAAGTGTTCATTGCCTGGATAGGGTGGTCCAGTCCCATAGCTGGGGGATGGTTTAGTCTAGGAGTGAGGAACCTTCTGCCAAGGGCCATTTGGATATTTATAACATCATTCATGGGTCATACAAAATTATCAACTTAAAAATTAGCTATGAAAAAGCTCCTAGATTTATTGAATTTCGAGTCCTGCCTATGGTTGCCTTGGCAGGGCTGGATGTTCCCCACCCCTGGTTTAGTTAATAAGGGTTTTCAGGAGCTGCTGGGGAAAGTTGACCCTGTATTAGGTAAAAAGTGACATCAAGATAAGGTACTAGAGACATTATAACAATTCCCTGGTGCACAGCTCTTTACCGTTTGTAAAGGGCTTTTTCATGACCTCATAGACAAGGAAACAGAATCACCAAGTGGTTGACGTTTTGCCCAAGGTCACTCAGGTATAAATGGCAGAGTCAGGGATTGAATCCAGGACTGTCTGACTCCCAGTCTAGGGTCTCTTCCCACCACACTCTAGGTGCCTCTGTGCCCACAGGTGATAAATGCATGATGGTTTAGAGACCAGAAAACCGGGAGTGGGCCCCATGAGAAGTGCACAGGGCACTGGGCTTGGGGTTCAGTAGTCAGGGATTCCATCCTGCACTGTCACTCAAGCTGAGTGAGCTTGGGCAAGTCACCCTAGTCCATAAAAGGGGTGGTAATGGGTGGCTGCTGTGTAAAATGACAAGACCCATACATCAGCACAGGGAGTGATGCTAGAGTGTGTTAGCTCAATAATATGCTTTGCAAAGATACATATTTGCTGGAGGTGGGGAGCTTGTTCTCTAGGTCAGCTCTCCAGTTCCTCTTGTCAACGAAAGAAAATACAAACCTATAGAAAACTTTTATAGGAGTTTATTTGATCCAAATCTGAGAACATGCCCAGGAGAAAGATCTCAATGGATTGAGAAAATGCTCCAGAGAACGGTAGTTACGCAGTTTTAAAAAATACACTTAGAATCAAAGGAGAGAAAGTAAGGAAGCTTACATAAAAGCCATTGGTGGTAGATTAAGAAGGTGCTGAGAAAGCAAAGTGGGGAAATTTCTAGGATTGGATAAAAAGCAAAATGGACAGATACTTCTTTTACATTGGTGTGTACAGGACAGTGAACATTTAACATTTATAGCGCAGAGACGGTATGCAGGCAGCAAGGTAACAATGAGTTACGTGCTTGTGCTCTGGTACCTGTGACTGTGCCTTGGACGGGTCTGAAAAATAAAATTACTTTGACATTTCAAAGGAATGTTATCCCAGCTGCATAAGAACAATGGGCAGGGCTGCTTAGGGTCAAGACTGACCTTTGCTAAGGAAGCTACAGGGCTGGGACATGACTACCCACCATGACCTGCCCAGTTAGGAATTTATGACCAGACTGTGTGGTTTCTTCCCATCACTGAACTGGTCAGGCCTGTCAAGTAGCCTCTTTCATGTTCACACTCTGCAGAAGGGGCCCCACTCCATGGTGGTATTAAGATATTTGACCATCAGGAGCCCTTTGGAACTGGCTAAGCAGTTTGGAAAACGCCATGCTGCCAGGCATTACCCCTTTACTATGCGGAGGGCCAGGGTGTCCCAGGGGATGGGCCAGCAGACTGGGGCAGCAGCTGTTCATTAGTCGGTTCAGGTATTTATTTCATAACCAGATCAGTTGTACTGGTGCAAGCCAGTCGAAGATCAACCCACCTGGTCCTCCTTTAGGCAATCGGTTCAGGGTGATCCTATTCGACTTGAGGGAATTTCATTTAGCATCCAGAAGAGGAAGACAAGGAAAGAAAAACCCACTTTCGGTTGGTCCGCTCCCCTGCTTTCAGAAGTTGCTCTCAGCAGTGAGCCCACAGGCCCAGGATGGCAGGCAGGGCCTCTTAAGTGGGTTGAGTAGATCCATCTAGAGATGTCTGGGGAGCACCCTTCTGGAACTCAGAACTGCAAGCACTGGGAGGCCCTGGCCCAGTGCCCCTGCAGGGCCTGATGGAGCTGCTGCAGATGCCTACACAGCTGCAGGCCTCGGGCCCTGGGCCTTTCCCTCCTGGCCACCCTGGGTTTGTATCACTCAATCCTCCCCCACCCCCTTCCCCGTAGGGTGCCAGAAGTTGTGGCCTCCCTTGCTGTCTACACAGGGAGGAGCTCAGGGTTCCTAACAGAAGTGAGGTTATGCTCCGAGCTGCTCTGCCAACTCATCTTGTGGGGCATGGCCTTGAGTCTACTGGCCAAGGCTAATGGGGAGGGGAGTGTTTTCTTCCCAGACCTGCTTCACTGATATTGTGTCTTTAGGCCCTACTTCCAAACCTAGGTGCGCGTTTCCACCGCCCTGCCTGGACTCACTCCCACCTGCATTATCCCTGTCTGGACATAGCTGCCCCTCCAACCTGGGCGATCAGAGATCAGACAGGTCAGGGAGCCGGATTTGGCTCAGGAATGCTAATCCTCACTCATCAGCTGACCAAGACAGTCCCAAGGATCAGTTTTGTAGCCTCAGCCTCTGTCTCCCCCTCCAGGCTATTTGAGAGAACTGCAGCATAAATCTCTCCTGGGTCATTCTAGGTTAAGCTGTCCATCCAGTTAGCCTAAGCGAGGATTTGACATTCCACTTTCCTTGTAATTACCCAATTTGGCTATGTCTACCTCACGCTTAAATGGCACCCTTTTTGTAGGACCACCTCTTTCACCATCTAATTACCCTCCCTGTGGGTGCCCCACTGCTTCCACACCAGTCTCTTCTCAGCTCTCTAAAGACTGGTTCTTGCCTTCCCCTGGCAAAGGCCTCAGCCAGCTCATTACAGCCATTAACACCATACACTCAATCCCGGAGCTTTTGTTCTTCGCTGAGGGGGACAGGAGTCGTGTGTCAGGTGACCAGAAGGCAGGGATGGCAGCCAGTTCTGGGACTGGGAGGTGTATAATTGGGGCTTGAAAGCAAGTGCTCAGTTAGTTTAACCTACACTAACTGGCTGATGGGACTTGTGGGTGGTGGAAATGGGACTGGGAGACACCGTTTTCCCTACATGTCCCTGTCATCTCAGTCACTGCCGTCCCATTTTGGGCCCTTAACCCTTCAGCTGCAGAGCATCCTGAGTAGGCATCTTTCTGACATGTGTGGCCTGCAACATGGGCCTCACCTGGGCCCCACCCAGGCTCCTGAGCCATGATGTGCATGTTAACAAGCCCCAACCTAGAATCGTGTCCCCATCCTGATTAGCGCCTTTGACATCCTTTGTTCTCAATACCCACAGGATGAGGTCCAAGCTCTTTGGCCTGGCATTCAATACCACCTAGAATGGCCTCACTACCCTTATTGTGTGCCCTATGCTGCAAGTCAAACACTTCGCCATTCCTCAAACACATCCTGAGCACAACCCAGTCCTGCTGCTGCCTGGTGTGCCCAGCCTGCCTTACTTGATCGCTGGACTCCTACCTGGCCTGGAGGGCCAGCTTAAATGCCATCTCCTCTTCCCTCCTTGATAACTATCTGGAGCAATCTTCTCTGATCCTGGCCTCTGCCAAGTTGTCTAGAAGCAACCTTGTTCTCTTCTCCAGGACTGCACTTTTCTGATTCTCATGCCCCTGACTTTTGTAAGCCCTGCAAGGCAGGAGGCTTCTTTAGTGAAGAGCTCTGGGGTAGCTTGTGTCCAGTGTGGTGGACAGCCCCACCTCCCTAGCACCATCTGAAAGAATCTCGAACATTTTGGCTTCTTGGTCCTTCCTCTCGGACTGCCAGAACAGATCTTCTGAGGGGTGGGGCCAGGAACCTCAATTTTATGCAAACTCTGGGAGGTCCTTATGTGGTAACCACTGGTATATAACACTGACCACTGTAAAACAAGACAACTCCTGCCTGTCACGGTTGCTTCAAGGACCCCATGAAATAGCAAACATGCCTAAGATAGAGCTAGCACAGTGCTTCACATAACCAACGGCAGGAATCAGTCCAAAAACATGGTGACGTTCAGGACCACACTCTGTACTGGTGAAAATCTATATCACCTAATTATCCAACAGTGGAATAAATATTACAGTACATTCACCCTAAGGTTTATCCAGCTATTAAAGGTGATATAGGAAAATACATCCACATTTATGTATGAATCAGGTGTGGCAGTGGCTCTCATAGATCCAGGCCTCCTGGTACTCAGGCCTTGTGAGGTCAGTCCCCTCCCACCAGATACCTGGGCTTGCCTTGTCACTTGCTTTCACCAGGATGTGGCAGAAATGATGCTGTGCTAGTGCTGAGCTTAAGCCTAATGCCAAGCAGCGATTACCCTTGCACTTTTGGGAACCTAGAGCCACCAAGAAATGTGGCCAGCCTATAGTAGAGGCCCCGTGAAGAGTAAGCCCCAGGCCTCATGGAGAAGCCCAGCTGTCTCAGCACCCCCCAAACACCATCTATGTACCGGAGTCACCATCTTGAATGTGCCAGGCCAGTCTGGCCCTCAAAACTGGAGAAGCAGAACCTTCCAGCAGAACCCAGTCAACCTGCAGAATCGTGATGTATAATAAAATAGCTTAAAAGCAACTAAATTAGGTGTATATGTGTATTACACAGTAACATAACCAGAGCAGGCTAAAAGTGGCACATAAAGTATTATCTCAACTTACAAAATATGCAAAATTAAGAGGACAAACACTATTTATTGCCAGTGACTATTTTCTGCTTTATTTTTTGGGTACGTTTTAGGTTTTGAACGATGAACATGTATTACTTGTTTAAGAAAACAATGATGTCATACTTGACTGTAAAATCCATTTGTTTTGGTTCCACTGGGCATAGGTCTACCCCCACCAGCCCTTTCACTCTCAAGGGAAGGCCATCACCTATTGCCAGAAAGTTCTCTCAGGTATGGGGCTGTTTCCACTTCAGAGGCCCCGGCTCTCGGGGGGCAGGCGGCACCCAACACTAAAGGGAACCAGGTCTCCCTTTAATTCCCCACATTTGTCCTAAGCCCAGCTAGTACAGCAAAGTCTCTTTCAGGTCACCGAGGAAAACAGACACAAAGCTGCCTTTTCTTCAGGATAGATAGCACTGTGTTCTCAGCCCAGCTGGTATTTTGGTTGTTTCTGCCCCCATCTCAACTTTCCTCACAATACTGGCTATGGGATGTCACAGCCACTTGAATATTATGGCTCCATCAGAAGAGGGCAAAATTCAGTGGGACAAAAGTCAGCCAAGGCAGCCCCAACGTAGAAGATAGTACTGTTTGCTTAGCCAGAAACCATCACACAGAAAGAACGAGGGACAAAACAGTGGCCTGGCATCAGATACCAAGCAGGTGAAAGGACACTATGAGGAATCAGGCCTGAGTTGACCCTTCTTTAGTTTACACACTGAGGGATGTAATGGTGCAAAGAGTAGGGCTGGGAGGAGCATATTCAAATAACGCCTAGTTCTGCTCTGTGATGAAAGAGATGACACTCTGGTCAGCTCTAATGGGGAAGAAAGCACAATTTTTATAGAAGAGACCTTGAAAAAGAAAATCAAAGACTGATCCATGATCTGGGAGGGATGGTAATGTTAATACTCATCTTCAAAACAAATTGAAATAGAAAGATATCTGAAATGGCTTTACAGTGATACGATGCCTTAATAAATTAAGGAAATGGACTGCTCACTAACTGCTTTCTCATTTCATGTTCTTTACAAAGTCTTCTCCTTTCTTGATTGAGGCTTTCAGCTCAGGAATGGCCTCAGCTATCATCTTCTCTTCAAAAGGGGAGATTTTGCCAATGCCTAGATTCTTCTCGATGCCCTTTTTCTGAAAGAGGAGGCAGAAGTTTAACAACAAAGTTAGTTTCCATGAATGAGCATGTTATAGAAAACCCAACTTGTAACTTCATCAGCTCTGCCTGGACTACCCACACCTGTGGCTCTGGGCAGTTGCTACAAATACCCAGAGCTCAGGCTTCAGTCAGACAGCACAGCCCTGGGCTGGGATCTGGGTTGTCACTAAGAATGTACCCTGGACAATGGTTTCCATGCCAAGTTGGTTTCCTTATCTATAAAATGAACATACTATCTACCTCGAGGGAGGCTGTGAATACACATGGAAGACTTGGCATATCAAGTACTCAACATTTAGTAGCACTTAAAGTTACTCTCCCTGACACAGAGCACACTTGGGTTCTAGTCTCTTTCCTGAGTTGGTAAAGGAATAAAGAAACATTTTAATATCCACCTGAATCCAATGTAACTAAGTAGGTGAACGCTTGACCTTAGGAAAACAACGTTTTTGACACTGTCCTTCTCCTTGGAAAACCCTCCCTGACTCAGACAATCAGCCTCGTGTGCTCCTTTCCCACAGGTCTCACCATATCCTGCATACACCTGTGCTGAACTGCTTACTGAATTAATCTTTTTAGTGGCAGTCTCTCCACCGCACAGAGGCCCTGAGGCCCTGAGACACACCTTATTGACCTTTGAACATTGGAGTATCTGTGGGAAGGGCCTCTGGGTGGCCCAGCAAGTCACTAAACTGTTTCTTTCTGGGAATGAGATGAAGGCCACCACACATTTGTCTGATTTCAGCAGTTCCACACCTAAGGAGTGGAAATTTTGGTTTGATGGTTTGTGTGAATGAGACCTTGGGGTTGTGGCTCACTGGACTCAAGAGACCAAAAAACATCCTGGCTGGGGCCAGCAATGAGGCCAGATGGGCTCCATCCTAGACACCGGTTTCAAGGGGCCAATCAGTAGCACATTCCAAGAAGGAGAATCAGTGGAGTGAGGAGCAAGGAACCAGGAATGCCCAAACTGGGAAGTGTCAACAGCTGTGCACCATCTCCAGACTTTCTTGGAGGAAGAATTAGGTTTGGCAGGCTGTGAGGTCAGAACAAGAACTAACAAGTATAAGTTACAGGGAAATGGCCTGCAGGCTGGTGTGGGGAAGACTCTTCTTTCAGAGCTGCCTGTGCTTTGAGATGGAACAAGGGTCTCATCAGGGAATACAGCCAGGCAGCCAGGGGTGAACACCTGTCAGACCTACGGGCAAGGAAATTCCTGTGCCAGGAGGTGCCAACCCCACAGTTTCTCCCTGCTCTTAATTCTGTGATGAGCTTCTACCCTCAAAACCCCAAGCATATGATAGGCAGTGAGATGTAGTAACTAAACAAAGGAACTGAATTATGAAGCAACAGGACAAAGCTCCTGAGTCTTAACTAGAGAGCTCTCTCCTTCCACAGTTAAGAGACCCAACCTCCAGGATACATACCCCCAGCAGCAATGGTGTGGAGAAATAGGGGCAGTCCGTTTCTTGGGACTTAACAAAGGAACATTCAACAACTCCTTCCTTTCCATTGATGGCATCCACAAGGGAAAAGACAAACCGGGCTCCTGCATATGCCATGGACAGGGTGGCAGAGCCTAGGGGGACACAGAAAGGTTAGCCAAGCTAACACACAGACCATAAAATCTAGATGAGCCGCTCCACAGGCTAAATAAAGCATCTGTAAAATCTCTAGCTTTAGTTGTAGAGAATTCAGGTCAGCAGTCAATTTACAAATTCATGAATGGCATGAATTAGCTTTGCCAACCTCAGATACAGGATTTTCTATCAAGTGTACAGGAAACTTAAGAAAAAGGTTTGTTCCTTGCAGTCTTCAACTGTGAACTATAAACAGCGCCTCTGGCATCGGCCTCCCACCTACAAACTGCCTCTGAGAACCTACCTGCTCCAGCTTTAGCCTTGACCACCTCTGTGCCGGCCTCCTGGATCCGCCCAGTGAGGGTTGTCAGCTGGTCCTGGGGAAAGTCCACCTTGGGAGTGCACTGCAAGCCAAAGTCACAAGGATCCCATGAGCAGGTTCTGGCTCCAGTCACCACTCCAGATCCCGCACTCTCCTCACCCTACTCACAGAGGGCCCCCTGCACTACTACTACATGGGAAACGAAGAGCCTTTCTTTAAAGGAAAAGTCAACTTTGTTGGGAGGTGCAGTGAATTTCCTACTAATTTTAAAGAACTTTTTGTATTTTGGACTAATTTTAGACTTAGAGAAAAGCTATAAAAACAGTACAAAGATTTCCCTCACCTGGCTCTCCTTCATGTTAATATCTCACATAACCACAGTGCAAATAGGAAGAACAGGAGATGAGTATCAGTACATCATTCACTAAACTACAGACCCTATTTAGATTTCACCAGTCTTCCCACTACTGTCCCTTTTCTGTTCCAGGTTCCTATTCAGGACCTCACTGGCAATAGACTAGGTCATTCCACCTTAGTCTATTCTCTAACAGTCCCCCCCCAGTCTTCCCTTGTCTTTCATGACACTTGTCAAGAGTATTGTCACTCGTTTTGTAGAATGCCCATCAGGTTGGATCTGTAAGGTGTTTCCTCGGGACTTTGTGTAAGCTTATGCATTTTTGGCAAGAACAACAAATATTCTGTGTCCTTCTCGGTGCATTACACTCGGGATTATGAGTTTGATTTCATATTCTTATCCTTAGTGGTGTTACTGGGTCTCTAGCCTAGTTTTTACACAAACCAGCTTTGCTTGCTCTGACTTCATCAGAAATTCACGAATGTTTCTACCAGCAGTTTTCACTGTGCATTGGAGCTGGCTGCTTTGAGTACCTTATGACTATACCCACTCCACATAGCTGTGGACCCCTGGAACCTGACCACAGCCCTACACCAGTAAAGAAACCCTCGGACAACTGAGGCGGGGCTGCATCCATAGCAAGAATCCTTTCAAAATACAACAGATGAGCAGATCTTTGTCAGTCTGTCCTGAGTGCCTCAAAGTGGAACCTCTTAAAAGTGCTCATGAGCCCGGCCAGGCTTGGCTCAGTGGTTGAGCATTGACCTAGGATCCAGGTGATCGGGGTTCAATTCCCGGTCAGGGCACATGCCTGGGTTGCAGGCTCAATCCCCAGCGGGGGGCGTGCAGGAGGCAGCCAATCAATGACTCTCTCATCGATGTTTCTATCTCTCTCTCTCCCTCTCCTTTCCTCTCTCTGAAATCAATAAAGACATATTTAAAAAAAAAAAAAAAAAGTGCTCATGACCTTAAGACTTCCTGGCAAGGTCACACACATACCTGAGAGATCAGGGGAATGATGGTCTTCCCAGCATGGCCACCGATGACAGGAACATTGACTCGAGCTGGATCCAAACCCTGGTCAACAAAGTGTGAAGCTTGATTAATTTTTAACAAGCTCTTTTTAGTATAAAACATGTTATATCCACCCAAAACACCAATATTGGAAAAATTCAAAGAACTCACAACAAAACAAAGAAATCAGAAGAGACTGACTCCAGTCTTGTTCAGATCTACCTTGGCCCCACCCCACAGTCTAACGTCAGTTTGAACACATGCAGTAACTTGTCATTTTGTGAGGTCACTATGAGGTTTTTCCTTTATAATGAGTTGAAAACCACCTCCTTCTAGGACCTTCCACATTGGTCCCCATCAATCTGCTATCTTCTCAGAATCAAAAGATGGACAGTCCTCTTTCCCAAAGCTAATGTTATTCCCATGCACAAGCCCAGACTCATGTGCCCACACTTTGAAGAGAACAAGCGAAATTTCCTTTCCCTCACTTCACGAGTAAAATTCAAAACAATTCCAGGAAACCCGGGGATGAGAAGTCTGTCAACTCAAACTGTGATATAGGCAGAAACAAAAAAACTGGGAAGGCTCAGAACACCCTGGCTCATTTGTTAAACTGAGGTACAATGCCCCTGAGAATCAGTGAACCAGGTATTCTTATGACAGTCAAAAAGAATATGGTAGAAGTTACGGGATAGAGGTAAACAGCCCCAAACTGACACCACCTTCTCCAAATGCCACAGCTGCTGAAGAGAACAGCCCTAAGTTAGGAACCAGCTTTGCCCAGAAAGGGAGGCCCAGCCTCTAGGGGGGCAGGCACAGCAGGACCAACTGAAGGGAGCAGGGAGCCCAGAAGCTAAGCCACTGTGCGGGTCATCAGGGACACAGGCATGAACAGACAAAGCCCCTGCTTTTGAGAAACTATTGTCTAATGAGACAGATGCAAAGGGACGTTCTAATGCAACATTGTGGAAGCCAGGGAAGCACTTCATCAGCCTGGGGGAAGGTTTCCTGGGACAGACCTAACTTCATCTGGGAAGGAACAGGACGACTTCCCCAAGGGAAACCTATTCTAGGCAAAAGAACAAAGGCCAGGGGATATAAAGAGCACATATAACATCAGCAGAGTATGAAATGTAAACTGGAAAATTTCTGCAAGCCTAATGGAAAGGGAAGGTGGCAGTAAAAGGGGTCCAGATGGCCGAGAGCACTGAGGAAGGAATCAGGCACTGGGAGCTTAAGCTGACTCTCCAGAAATTTTTCAGAACATCAGCCTGTGGTAAAGGGTAGTTCACTTAACTGAGGCTTGTCAAGCACTAGATTCTCTGGGAGGGGCCAAGATCCCTCTTCCTCCACCTCAAACAGTAAAGCTTCTAGGCTGTGATAGCACTATCTAATAGGACTTCCTGTATAGCAGCCACGTGTAGCTATCAAGCACCTGAAATTTGGCTAGTGTGATGGAGGACATGAATTCTAATTTTATTTATCTAATTTAACAGCCACATGTAGCTACTATACTGTGTACAAACAGGGGCCCAGAGGAATATGGTGCTCTGAGAGCTGGCAGCACCATGGGAGCCCTAAAGGCACGAGTATTACTGTTTCTAGGAAGATGGGGTATGAGCTTCAGGAAGCTGGCCTATGTACTCTCAGTTTCAGTGTAATCTCCTCCACAAAGCCTTCCCTGATGCATAGACAATCACTCTATACACACTGAACTCAACTGGTTATTCAATTATCTCTTTAGAATTAAAGTGTCTCTCCAGCCCGGCCAGCAGAGCTCAGCGGTTGAGCGTCAACCTATGATCGAGGAGATCAAGGTTTGATTCTCCGTCAGGGCACACGCCCAGGTTGCAAGCTTGATTTCTGGCTGGGGGGTGGGGTGTGCAGGAGGCAGCCGATCAGTGACTCTCATCATTGATGTTTCTCTGTCTCTCTCCCTCTCCCTTCCTCTCTCTGAAATCAATATTAAAAAAAAAAAAAAGTCTCTACTCCATGGAGCTCCCAAGTCCACCTTATGGACTTTGGTGACCCCCATGCCTACAACTGAGCCTGAAGAACATGCTGCAGTATGAGTTAAAGTGGCTCGTCATCAACACTCCAGAGGCAGACCTGTCTGGTGTACCGGGGAGTAAAATAAAGGCCAATGATCCTGTGTGTGCACTTTTCACTAAGCTGTGTGCATGACAACAGTCCCTACTTTAGAGAGGCACCCTTCATCTGAAAAGTCAGAAAAAAAATGGTACGAAGTTCAAGGAAACTTTTTGGGGCCAAAGGAAGTGGTTATACTGGATCAACCACCAAAAAGTTCAGAGAACAAGTAAAAGGCACAAAGGACTCCAGAACCTAGCGCTGGTGCCAAACCCACCTCAGGATGAGTCCGCAGCTCAGTCCAGCAGCCCAGGAAGCAGCAGATAGCTGGCAAGATCACAACTCTGAGGAAAGCTACCACAGGTAACCCAAGAAGGGGAGTCAGAACTACAGCCTGGTGACAGTAATTCTGCTATCTTAGGATCTGTCTAATAATTTAGCTAATGATTAGCAGGTAAATATTGTTAGTACTAGTTTTCAGAGGCAAGGAGCTTGGCGAGCACAACTCAGTCCAGCCAATGAGAAACCCAGGGAAAGTCTGACCCTTTGAAGCATTAGGGAGAAAAGAGTAGATCCCCCAAGAAAATGTGAGAGCTACTTCCCACAAAGGGGCAAGCTATTAAAAACATTTAAAACTCCCAAGTCACAAGTTACCTGTTAGTGCCCTGGTGTCTTCTATGCCCATAAAAGAACCAAGAATGGCCCAGACAAGTTCAGAAAAGGGAACTTGAAAGATACCCGAAGCAGCTCTTACCTTCAGTTCTGCAACAAAAGCGTTGGCTCTGACAACGTCCAGGGTTGTCACCCCAAAGATTTTATTGGGGTTGTACACTCCATGTTTCTTGAAAACTTCAGATGTGATTGGGATGGTGGAGTTAACCTAATAAATCCAAGAGACAGGTATAATTTGCCCTGCATTCTGAGAGCACAGCCATTCATCAAAAGGAAAGAGTCATAGGGGTGACTTCCTACTCTACCAGGGTGCCTCCTTCTCCCTCCACGTGAATAAAAAAACCTGCATCGCTGCAGGTGTTCTTCCCCTATGGGTGCTCTGAGCCCATAATTCAGATATGCATGAAACTCCTGAACTATCAACTTTAAAATGCAATGATGGCTCCACAAGGCATCTTTGGCTTCAGTTAGAACTTACACCTGAATGGCCATTCCTAACAAAAGATAGCACAGCACACGGCTAAAAGCTCAGATGGCATAGGGTCAAGTCCTAGCTCTGTCAGTCCACGTGGTAACCCTGGGCAAGCTACTTCAACTCCCTAGGACTTGGGTTCTCTATCTGTAAACAGGAGAGAAAACTACCTCACAAGGCTGTTGTGAAGATTAAATGACTTAATATATGGCAAGTACCTGACACTTTACCAGATTTATAGAAACTATAATAAAAACAAAACAGCAAGGTATTTATTAGGCACTAGTTGGCTCCCTGACAAAAGAAGCAACTACTTTCTTCTTTTGACCAACTGGCCCTGAGGAAGGGTGAGCAGGCTGATAAAGGCAGAGGCCACTGGCATAAGCTCTGGGTGTTTACCAATGGTCACATTCGAGTCAATGTCACTATCACCGCACTATCACTTAGATCCTTCTCATACTCAGAGGCCAGAATCCAATCAATCAGGAGGGAAGAATAAGAGGGCTGCTGTTAAATACAACCTAAAGGCCTGCTGGGCAGGTGTGGGAACCACTGCTGTGTTCTCAGAGAAGACGCAGCACTCAGAGTTTCTAAACTGAAGAATAAGCTCCCTGCAAACACCAGCAAGCAGGACCTGGCATGGCTGTGAATGAGATACATATCTAAGTTTGAGAAGAAAGGGAGCATTGGGGAACCAGGAATTGCAAACCCTCGGTAGAACATAGTAAAAGGAGTTCATAGGCTACCACAATTATGGCTGGAAGAAGCCTCAAGAATGGACTTATTGCCCGGCCAGTGTGGCTCAGCAGTTGAGCATTGATGTATTATCCAGATCACGGTTTGATTCCCAGTCAGGGCACATGCCTGGGTTGCGGGCTCGATCCCCAGTAGGGGGCATGCAGGAGGCAGCCGATCAATGACTCTCTCATCATTGGTGTTTCTCTCTTTCTCCCTCCCTTCCTCTCTCTGAAATCAATAAAGACATAATTTTTAAAAAATCAATAAAGACATAAAAGAAAAAAGAAAAAAAGAATGGGCTTATTTTCCAGGTGGAGAAACTAAGATTCAGATAAGGGAAGTGATTTGCCCAAAGATAAATCACTTGATGGAAAAACCAGGGTAAGACTCAGTCTATGCCAGAAGGAATCCTTAGAAAATAAATATAAGGACCTCTTTTTAGTTTCCCCAACTTACCATTTCAGTATGTTAGTCTGATTATTCTCCCTATAAGATATTAAGAGACTTTTGCGAACTCTGAGCTTTCATACAGTATCAGCAGCCTACCTGACAGCAGCACTCACCGGATTTGCAATGACACAGATCATGGCCTCGGGGCAATGCTGGGCACAGGCAGCAGTCAGGGTGGCCACAATTGTGGCATTGGTGTTGAACAGGTCATCCCGTGTCATACCTGAGAATGATCCAATTCAAGATGTTCACAAAGCACAGGATACATTTCTAAATATGTGCCAAGTGCTATGTATTAGCTGTTACAGGAAATTCACACATGAGTGAGACAGGGTCCCGTTTCAAGTTAAACAGTCCAGTGCTGAAACAGAGGTCTGTGGGTGTGGGGCATGGGGAAGGGAATAAGGAAGGATGATATCTGAGGAGGATCATGAAGGATCAGGAAGAATTCCCAAGGTAGAGACAGGTAGAAGAAAGGGAATTCCAGGCCAGGGGAACACAGCAGACACGTGGAGCCTTGATCTTTACCCCACAGGCAATGGAGAGCTTTTAGAATTTTTTCTGCAGCATAGATCTGACCAGATCCATTTTTCGTAGAACACCACTTCCTCAACTGACTTGCAGGGAGATGCTAGAGAAGGCTTTCAAATACTCACCTGGTTTTCTCGGGACTCCGGCTGGAATAACCACCAAATCACAACCTTTCAGGCAGTCTGGCAGCTGCTCAGGTCCCAGGTAGCCTAGAAAAAACACCCGTGAGAGCAACCTTATTGTTTGCAACCTAGAGGGGCAAGCACATCTGTTAGGACAGAGCCCAGAGGATGGCCCCACCTGTGTCCAATGCTGACCACAGGCCACAAGAAAGGCTGGCAGGCCCACCTGTGACCTGATTCCTTTCCTTGAGGACTACCACCCTGTGAGTCTGGCTAGCAGGAATGCCCCCCTTTCCCTCTACTTTCCTCCAGCCTCCATTTGCCCAGGCCTGGATTCAGAATGGATTAACCCTCCAGGTTTGCACAAAACCAAACCAAGTCGGCCGCTTATCCCTCCTTACTAGCTAACACATGTAAGTACTTCTCAGCTCCCAGTTAGAAGAGTTGTTCATTCTACATCATAATCATCCTAACAAAAGCTCCATCTCAGGGTCAGACCAGAAGGCACACTGAAGACCATGAGAAAACTCCCTATGCTGACGAAAACAAACTCTAAGTATTAGTACCTATTTTGTTATTCCTAGCACCTGAGGAAAATAAGGTCTATTTTCAAGGATTTCAGGGAAATCAGCTTCAATGACCAAAATCTGCTTTGATTTTAACTGACTTTTTCCTTATTTGCAGGAGTTTTCAGAAACTCAGATCTACAACACAAAAGGAAATGAGCAAACAAATTCAGAGGGACTTGGAGGGCTCATAAACACATGACTTGACAGTCAGCCTCCTGTGCTGTTTACACCTTTCTGGGCAGTAATTTGGTACTTTATAGTACAAGCTTTAAAATAGTCACATCTACTAATTCTACTTTTAGCACTCTAAGAAACAAGATATAAAAATGAGGATGTTTATCACAGCGTATATATTTATAGTAGAGAAAAACAGTATGGGAATAATAATAATAAATTATAGTATAGCTTTAAAAATGATTTCACCAAGAACTTGGTGACATGGGAAATGTTGTTAAGATGTGAGGGTAAAATAAGCAGGACATATAATCACATGTAATTACGAATTACTTCTTGGGTAACATACCTGTATCTCCCAAATAGGAAAGCAGATTTCCCTAAGGTAGCCATGCTTTGGAGAAGCTGGGAAAGGTAACTCTGGGTGGAGAATTGGCCCATGACACAGGGAGGCAAGCCGAAATGACTAGGAACAGCATTTCTTACTCCCCAAGTCCCCGCAGGAGGTTCCCCCTTCCCCATCCTTACATTACTGAACAAGGTAGAAAAAAATTCAAATGGGAAGATCAGACCAACTTCATTTTTCTGAAAGACACTGTTATTTAAACTTTTATAGATGCAAGTCAAAAAGGGTGTGATCATTTGTAAAAGTTAATTCTAAACTGAACATGGAAATCCTGTCTCTGAACACCTAGTTTCATCTAAGGATCTTACTCTAAACTTAGATCCTAGCCTACTGGGGAGAAGAGATGTTAAGTTCTCCAGGCCCACTGTGCCCAGTACCTTTCACAGTTGCTCTGGTCTCAATATGGCTCAGATCTGCGGCCACTCCGGGTGTATGAGCAATATCATAGAGGGTCAGGCGGCTCACCAAAGGGCTGTTCTTCAGGAGAAGTGAAAGGGGCTGCCCAATTCCCCCGGAAGCCCCAAGCACAGCTACTTTAGCATTGTTCTAAAAAAAGACAGAGAAAGAACTCTTAAGATAGAATCAGCGTTAAATGGATTCACATTAAAAGGATACGTCCTGCACAGTACTGGCCTCTTTTATTGCACAGGTGTCAAGGAAGATACAACTGTATCTCTACCAGTCCAAAGATCCAGTTTTCTTCTGAAGTTTAGAGGCTTGCCTCAGGAAAATGGGCAAGAACTCATGTCTATGAAGGCTGTGATAGGGTCATACTTCAAACACCCTCTGAAAAATGAATAAGCTGTACTCACTCAGGTAGCTGGATTGGTAACAGCAGCCTTACTTTCAATCTGCAGTTTTAAAAACTATAAACAAACATTTACCTAGCACCCACTGAGGGGCTAGGCATCACATGTGGGACTGCAGGAATGAAGACCCCTGCCGGCTCTGGGGGAGACAAGTAAGGAGATGTGAGAGGAGCTGAAGGAAAAGAGCTATGTACTGTGTGCAGGAGGGGTGGGGGGTAGGGTGGCAATCAACTGTCTGGGAAGAGGGATCAGGGAAGATTCCAGCACAATCTGACTGTAGCCTAAACAGGATTAGGAGGGATGTATGTTTAAAAAGCTCCTTCTCTACCAGGCAAGTCAGATCTGCATGCAGCCTCAGACTCCTTACTCCACACCTTACATCAGTTCTAACAAAACGAAACAAACAAAAACGATAGAGGGCCAGTCTCCTTCAAGTAGGATCTACCAAGTTCCTCAGGTAATTCTGACACCCACCAAAGTTTAAGAATCACTACTGCTCCACACCACACTGGGCAAAACAAGCAGCAGTTGACCTGGGCAAGTCAGCTGGGAACAGTTTAAAAACTGATAGTTTTCTTTTTTTTGGGGGGG